CTGCAGTTCAGCGGTTCTAATCTCACCAGCTCAAGGTTGACTCAGCCCTCTCTAAGCGCTTTACAGAGTCAGCATATCGCCCCCACAGTCTGGGTCCTCATTTTACCTACCTTGGAAGGAGGGAAGGCTGAGTCAAGCTTGAGCCGGCGAGATTTGAACCGCCGAACTGCAGATAACAGTCAGCTGAAGTGGCCTGCAGTACAGCACTCTAACCACTGCGCCACCTTGGCTCTTTTAGAGAAGACAGTATCCAATGTCCATATTCCCATGTATGCAAGTTACTAAAAAAAAATCTTTGTCACTGACTGTCCACTTAGAACATGTTTTATTCCAGAAAAAACCTAAATCTTTATCATTAATATTTCAGACAAGCATTTTCAGTTGCTTAAAAAAAAACAGTTTTTGTTTATATTTATTTAGGATTGTTGATTATCTTGCATAGCTTTATGAGATGAAAGGCATATTTTACTAAAACGAATCTAATTTTTAAATTTTATTTGAAAAAGATTATGACAGGGCATGAGGAATGCATTCAAATGCTGTTGGAACAAGAAGTATTAATTCTGTGTAAGGATGCCAGAGGCAGGACACCTCTCCATTATGCAGCAGCTCGCGGTCATGCCACATGGCTGAGTGAATTAATGCAGTTGGCACTTTCGGAAGACTACAATTTTAAAGATAATCAGAATTATACACCATTGCACTGGGCTTCTTATAACGGTAATCTTTTATGCCAAGTAGATATTTAATACTGGCTATTAAGTTTGGTGTGGAAATTGCATGCAAAGAGAGATTACAGAGCTTGTAAAACAATAGTTGTATCTTGTTGTAAATTGTTAGAGATTTGGCACCATTCCCAGATCAATGCCACGTCTTTATGATCTGCATTGTCTCCATTTGACAGCTGACCCAATTTCTTGTGAATGGTCCAGTTTTCAATCTGACACTGAAGCTCTAAGCAGTTTTTCAGTTGGTCGGAATTTCCCTTCCCTGCCACTGTGTTGCAATACAGTAACTCTCCGGGTTAAGAAAGCCCCAGTTTAAGGATGACCTATAGTTAAAGTTAAATGTTCAGTGATTCAAGTTAAACTTGCAATAGTTCAATTCATGGTTCCACCACAAAACCGTGGTAGAATAAAGCGCGCTCGACGAAAGCGCGTACGTGACGTCATCACAGNTATTGCGCCACCAACAGTCTTGCTGAAGAAAACCTCCTTCTTTCTTAATGAGCTATGCTAAAAATGATTTTTTACTAAATCTCCCAAAATGAAGAAATAAAGTAAGCACGTCTTACAGGTAGTCCTTGATTTATTACCACAGTTGGCACAAGGAATTTCCTTCGCTAAGCGATACGGCCGATAAGTGAGTAATCCTATGATTGTGCCCAATTTTACAATCTTTTATGTCACAGTCATTAAGCGAATAACTCTGGCCATTAAATGAATCACACAGTTGTTCAACAAATCCAGTTTCCCCCATTGACTTTACTTATTGGAAGCCAGCTGGGAAAGTTATAAATTGTGGTCATGTGACACACACACACCCCCGGTACTCTGAAACCATCATAAATACATGCCTGTTGCCTAGTGCCTGGATTGTGCTTACTTGAGCATGGGGACACTACAATTGTAAATGTGAGGACCAATCGTGAGTCACTTTTTTTAGTGTCACTGTAACATCAAATAATAGCTAAATAAATGGTTGTTAAATCAAGGACTACCTGTATTCCCAAAACAGAGATGATGTGACTGGACAACTATAGTGAATCATGATCCTTGAATCTTATTACCAGTTCATCAAATTATCATGATTTATTGCAGGGTTGAGCAGTAATAGGTTTACAGGTCTTCTGATCCCTGGTTGTGCATGATCATTTTGTCTAACCAAATGGTGCCCCAACATTTCATAATGATATCACTGAAATGAAGAAAGCTTAGCATAACCAAAATTGGATTGGCCCGTGAAGTTCCACTCAAGTTCTAGTCCTTAGAACATATTCCTAGGTTCAGAATTCTTCCCCTCCTGAACCAGACTCCAGTTGGTACTCCAGATGTCAGCAGGCTGTGAATTAGATCTGTTTTTCATCTTGAGTTGTACTTGCTATTAGGCATTTTGAATTTAGATCAACACATCTGTAATCGTAACTGTACTTACTTCATTTTCCTTATACCCTAGTTTAGAATTGATTATACCGTACATAGCCATTTATTTTTAGAGTAGTTAACAAATAAACCGAGTACTGTATATTATTTTGTATTGAAATGGTGCATTGTCTTAGCATGGCCTGATAGAGACCTCTGTTGGCTAAATACAGGTTTACATTGTCCACCAATAATAGTTGAAGCAGGCCATATTTGACTATAATTAGATAGGATTTCTTTATAGTAGAAACTCAAAATTGTTGCTGCTGCTATTTTCTTTGGATGCTACTGAAGTGTTGAAAACAGTCTTGAAAAATGTAATGCATGTACAAAAATATGAATGTCATTTCTCAACTCTCTATTTTCTTATCCCATCAAAGACAATATGTATTTTTGCTCTTCTTCCTAATGGCAGTCAGTATTTTTGGAGAATAAGCATTAAATAATTAAACTATTAATGGATATAAATTAAATTATCAAAATTCATGCCTAAATTTACTTCTTATATTAGAAGATGAACTTCAGGAGTCAATATATAGGGATATTTTCTTTCTTAATGAATTAATCAAAAATATTTTCTCCTAAATATTACTTGATTTACTTGATACAATTTTCTCTCTTTCATGGCTTTTATTTGAAAAACATTTAAAGTATGTCTTTCCTTTTTTATAGTCATCAATGGGCATACATCATGTCTACGGCTTTTATTGGAAGTAACAGATAACCCTGACGTAGTGGATGCCAAAGGACAGTAAGTTTATTTTATTTTGAAATTTACAATTTGAGTGACCTTGAGATCATTTTAAGCAGTAGCACTTCGATATCCATCGTGGCTACATCCTCGTTCAAGGATGTTCAGAAGTTAATTTAATAACTTCAAATTAAGGTAAGCATAGCCTTCCCACGACATGGCTAACCAATTCACGGTGCTGCTATCAGTTCTTCAGCTAATAACACTGGAGTCAAAGAGGAGAAAAGGACACAACCATTACAGCTGTAAGAAACTGGTAACCAAGGACAAGAATCACGGTTAAGCCTGGATGAGACAAGAAATAGAAAAAGCAAATTTGCAGCAACCCTAAGGAAATGAGATTACAATTGGTGTTGTGCTGCCAATGTATATCCAGTAGATGTCCTCTGGGATTTCTGCTACAGAAAGCATTCCACCCCATGCCAGATGCCAGAAGTGTGTTTTTTATTTCACATCTTAGACAAATGGTAGTGAGAATAAAAGTTTGAAGTTAGGAATGCAGACTGAATGTGTCTCCTATTACTATGAACCAGAATCTTGAAAGATGACCCTACTCTAACTCCCCATGAATCACTCTTCCTGGACTCAGTTCTTGTATATGTGATTATATCCTATAGCAGTGATGGCGAAACTATGGCACGCGGAGCCATTTGTCAGGGCACGCGAGGCGCTGCCCTGTCAGCTGGCCAGCTGAGTTCACCCTTTTTAAAAGACATTTTTTGCCCTCCCCAGGCTCCAGAGGTTTTATAGGAGCCTGGGGAGGGTGAAAAGAGCCTCCCCTGCCCCCCCCCGAAGGCCCTCTGGAGGCTTCATGAGCTTCCCTGAAGCCTCCGGAGAGCAAAAATCCAGTCCTACGGGCAAACCGGAAATTCGGGAACGGACTTCCGGTTTGCTTGGAGGGTCATTTTGACTGCTCCAGAGGCTTCAGGGAAGACTCCTGAAGGTCCCTGAAGCCTCCGGAGGGCTTCCGGGAGGGCGGGGGAAGCTGTTTTCGCCCTCCCCGGGCTCCTATAAAGCCTCTGGAGCCTGGGGAGGGCGAAAAAAGCATGCAAAATGGGGGTCATGCCTGTAGTGCGCGCATGCGCACTTGAGGGGGTCACACATTGCATTATGGGTGTGGCATGCCCGCATACGACACCCCCCCCCGTGTTCCCCCCCTTATGGCACGCAAGCCAAAAAAGGTTCGCCATCACTGTCCTATAGTTTAAGCCAGGAAAGCCAGCGGAGAGACTTTGGGTCACACCCTCTCTTTTAGCCTAGCCTACATCTCAGGGTTGTTGTGCGAAAAATAGGATGAAGGAGGAGGATTAGGTATGTTTGCATCATTGGCAGTTTCAAAAGGAATACAGGTGGGATAAAAATCTAGTAAATAATAAAAATAATTAAAAACCTTTGTGCATGTAGAAAAATAGCATATATTTCTGTATGCAATCAATCTCTCTCTGGCTTCCCCATGCCTCTTCCCCTGAGAATATACAGCTGTGAATTGCTGAAGGGTAGAAAACCTTCTAGATTTTATAAATTGATTCTGATAATACTACAGTGTGACAAAGAATTAAAATCTAGAAGCTGGTTTATAAACATAGCCTTACGTTACGGGCAATAGGATAGATTGGAACCATAACTATCTGTCTATCTAAATGTCTAAATGATTTAGATTACATTTAGTCTAAATCTATCTATCCATTTCCTCGCATGATGGACAAATTCAAAATGGACAAATCCCCCAATAGATATGGGGAAATGTTTCCACATAAATCTTTTTATGGAGCCTCTGGCCATTTTAGAGTTAAGAATACCCAAACAGAAACAATTAAGTTAGGAAATGCAGCACTAGGTGCAGCACAAATAATCAGAAATAAACATTATGCTGCTCATTTTTAGATTAAGAACAAAGATTGAATATCAATGCTTCATAAACCTCCAATATTACCGAATCTAGCTATCTCTGGCAACATATATAATAACTAATGGATATTACAATGTTTGGAGAAGAGGTAAATACTTTTGAATAAAGTCAAATCAGGAATATATCATGACGGTTATGGGCCTCTCATTTTTTTAGGACTCCACTGATGCTAGCTGTGGCTTATGGGCACATAGACGCTGTTTCTTTGTTACTTGAAAAAGAGGCATCCGTTGATGCAGCTGATATCCTGGGATGTACTGCTTTACATCGAGGGGTAATTTCTCATTTCTCTATCCTGTGTTTCTGCTGTATGTTTTTTCAATTGCACATATGCCTAATCAGTGGTGGGTTTCAAAAAGTTTTGGAACCTCTTCTGTAGGTGTGGCCTGCTTTCTGGGTCCACTAGTGGCACCTCTTCTAA